AAAAAATATTTAAATATTATTGACATTCATGTTTAATAAAACAAAGTTAGTGATTATAGATAAAATTTATTTAAGTAGTAATAAAAAATAAATGTTCTGTCGACTTATTGATGAAATTATAAATAATATAGATTTTTAATTTTGTTCTAGTCATGTACATTTTAAATAAAATATTAATATTAATTACTAATTAAATTTTTATCTATTAAAATTAAGTTTGGTTATGTTTTTTTATGGTTTTGTTATGGTTTATGTTTTTTTTTTTAATATTTGAAAATTATTTTAGTTTTATTAATCTAGTTTTTGAATGGTTTGCACTTTGTAGTTCTAGATTAACATTGAATTATATTTAAATATTCATAATTTTTAACTATGAATTCCTTAAATTAAAATCGTGATTTTTGGAATCTATTTATTCATTAATTCTATCAATTTATAAAAACTTTCAAATTTTTTTCAGGAAAATAAAATTTTACCATATTAAGATTTTCAAAAATTTTTAAGTTTTAAATCGGATTTGAAATGATTTAAATATATAAAATGCCATTTCGCATTATTCTAAAGTAAACATTCGAAATCAATATTTTTTTATTAAATTTTTTTGAAATGATTTCGAAATTTCAAAATTTCAAGTCTCATCTCAAGATTCTTATTTCTAAAGAAAAAGTGGATGCTCATTGATAATCCTGCATGTTAGGTGATGTGATACAAATGGTTGATTTCAAGTAAAGTGACGAATACTGTTATTTTATCTTCGTATTAATAATCAATTTATGATATTATTTTAAAAAGAAAAGTATACAATTATTTGAGAGTGAGTATAATTTTCAATGTAATATGTAAAAATATAAATTTCTATCAAAAATATTAAATAACTCAAGCTATAATAATTTAAAGAAATTTTCCGGAATATTTTACTATGAAAGTATCAGTATTATTAATATTTCGTTATTATTGATTAATATTAATTTAGAATTATTAATTTAATATCATTAATATTCAAATAAAAATTTGTTGACTAGTAAAACAAGATATTAGAGGTTATGATATCATAATATAAATTTTATATATAATATCTAAAAAAATATTTTTTAATTTAAAACATAATTTAAAAATTTTTATACTTATATATTTATGTATATATTTAGCATGTAATCATTTTTTTTGTTACTTATTCTTATAAGTGAGTGTAATATCTAGACAGATGCCAAGTGTTAAAGATGAATCTGAAGCAGAAGGAGAAGAAATGTCTCATGATAGCAATGAAAGTAATCAAAGTTCTGCATCATGTGATAGTAGTGCAGAACACAGTGATAGTGATGATTCTTCAGAAATGGATGAAGATGAATGTGAAAGACGACGTAATGAATGTATGGAAAACTTAGTAGATTTAGAAAGACAGTTTACACTTCTCAAAGAGCAGTAAGTATTTGTACAATTTGATGATATAATTTTTTAAAAATATAATTTTATAAAAGGAATTTAATTGCTACAAATTTAATATATATAACTTTTAAAAATAATTTTAGGCTTTATCGTGAAAGAATTACTCAAGTAGACACAAAATTAGGTGAGGTTCGAGTTGGAAAATCTGAAGAATATTTAATACCATTGGAACGATTAAAAGAAAATATGAAAACCAAAACAGAAGTAGCTGGGATATTAAAACAATATAGATTACAAAATATACAGAATAAATTTTTAGCAGAAGAACAAGCTGCATTGCAAAATTTTGAAAGTGAAAAAGAATTAATTTGGGATTGCATTCATAATGATTTACAAGAAAAAATTCGTAGATTAGAAGAAGATAGAAATAATGTTGACATACATGCAGATTTATGGTTAAATTCTAATGGTAGAAGACGTAGGAATCACACTGAAAGAAGAAGAGCTGTTTCTGTTGCTGGACCTTATATTGTTTACATGCTTAATGATGCAGATATTCTTGAAGATTGGGCATTGATAAAGAAAAGTTTAAGCAGTCGAAAAACTGAAATAATATAATGATACATCCATTTAAATACAAATCCATTTTTAAAAATACAACAATCTTAATGATGTTAATGTATTGCTCTTTTATAGATATAAGATGTATAAAAGATATTAGAGCGATCATTATCTTCATTTATTGGCACTTCTCTTATATTTATAATACATATATAAAGTGCCTTCTATAAAACATTTTGATCTCTATAGAATTATTTTAGTTGATAAAATACTGGTGCAAATAGAGTAATAGAAAAATTTTATGACAAAGTATCTTTGTCTTTGAAAGCACAATTCATAATAAACTAACAAAATATTATTTATAAAAATAATTGTTATTACATTTTTTTTACGAATATAATATTTCGTTATAAAATCAATGTAAAAATTTATTTAAATAATTTTAAGCTTATTTATAATGAATTTTGTAAAATATGTTTCTTGAAAATCATAAGTAGATTTTAACTTTTAATATTATAATTTTTAATCTAGAATTTATCTATATATAGTAAAATTATAAGTAAAAAAATCAATTTAATTTTTATCGATTCATACATGTACAAACTGTAATATATTTGAATATATTTCATATTTTTGAATAAACATAAAAAAAATAATGTTTAGTAAATATTTGTATATCTTTTATGAATACAAATTTTTGATATTTACATAATATATCACATATGTATTTTCTAAACCTATACATATATTCAAAACCTAAATATTTTAACAATAAAAATACTTTTAATAGTATGAAACAATTAATTTATATTAAAATATTTTGGAAAATAAATTTAAAAAATATTTTTATTAATTAATTTACTATATAATTAATATATTTACACGCAAAAATAATTGTAAAATATTCTAAATAACAAACATAATATTGATGTACAATGTTAAAATGATAACAAAAATATAATATTACTATAATATACATATTAAAATACATATCATAAAAAAGGAACAAATAAAATGCCAAAAATAGAAAAAAAATATTTTTAAATTTAAATTGAAAAATATTATATAAACATATGCATATATTTAATATAAAAATTTAATATATATTCAATTATTTTCCTTTAAGGTTTCTTAATTTAATATGAAACTATAAATAAAAATTTTTTTTTAATTAATTCATATAATTTTATATAAATACATAAAAATGTCTAAATTATTTTTTAGATAAATGAAAAAAATTCAATGATTAAAGCAAAGTATTAAGCTCAAAGATATAAAAATACATTAAGAAATAAAATAAAATAAATATTTACATAATTTTAATTAAAAAATACAAAATGGTTGATAATATATTAATATATAATTATTATTATACATTAAATGATATTATTATTACAACTAATTTCAATTATTATATTTAATTTTATTTATTTTAAAAATATGATAAATATTGATATCATTATTTTGATATAACTAAATGAAAAGAAAAAAATATTTACTTTTAATTTAATATTTATATGATTGTATAAAAATATTAAATATATATTTATATAAGTATAAAGAATTTAGATTAATATTTAATATTTATTTTATTTATTTTAGTATTATTTTATAAATTCGCGCATTTATATATAAATCGCCATTGAGAAAATCACGAATAATATAATACAAAGATAGTAATCATAATGAAACTTATATTCAATTAATTATTATAGATTATACAATTTTTAATATTTAATAAGAAAATTTATATCTAAGATTTAAAATATAAGGATTTAAATTTTTTCTTCAAATTTTATATGGATATTATTTTTTTATTAATAATCAATTAAAAATCTTTAGTTTTATCTTCGCGATTAAATACGTACACGAGGGAATCAGAATCGATAGACGGACTACGTTTGTAATTTGAGGTCAATTGTAGGACAATATCATTCTACTTCGAACATTCTGAGAAGATTGTCACATATTACGCTAAGTAAGCATATTTTTTTTCACTTTTGTATTATATATTATATAGATATAAAAAATTATATCTTTAAGAATTTCTATTTGCTACATTAAGATTTTATGTTCATATTTTTTATAGTGTTTTGTTTTTTAATTCATAAAAAATATAATATGTATTTGTAATTTGTACCGTATGCATAAAAATTTAATTTTAAGGTCATTATATTATTCAAGTATATTATAATCATAATTTATATAAAATTAGTTATAATTTTAATTTTAAAAGATAGCATCGAATTACGTAACATTTTTAAATGAAGAAAGTATTAACTTCATTGTAAGTTCTTTAATTTTTAAATATTAAATTTCTTCCAGTAACCTTGTCAAGGTCAAAGATATTTTTTTAAGGCAAACTTAAAATTATTAAACTTATTATTCTAATGCATTTTATCAATAAATATTTATAATATTTAAATTTAAAACAATTTAATGATAAAGTTAAAAAGAAACAATTTATTTCTCAATACTATTAATTTGGAGGTTATAATATGCATTTTTGCAATAAATATTTAAAACAAAATTTAAATTTAAAGACAATTTAATAAATGATAAAAAAACTATTTTTTTTAACATTATTAATTATTAGAATAATTGCAATATATTAAAATTGTAATATACTAACTTGTATTGAATTATTTACATTAAATGATTACTTTATTTTTTTTGATTAATGTTCTGTTATTATGTATATTTCTGTTTCAGATTTCTAATAAATAAATATACTACTCGTAGTACTCGCAGTAGTAGAATGTCATCAATTAAATCCATAAAAGCACGTCAAATTTTTGACTCTCGTGGTAATCCTACTGTAGAGGTAACATAAAAAAAAAATATATCATTTTAATAATATATTAAATTATGGATAAAAAAATTATATTTTATAATTTTAAAGAAAACATGAATTATAATAAAAATTTATATAAATATTTATTATATAACTTTTATTATATATTATATTTTATTATATATTTTATTTTTAGCATATGATTTTTAATATATTTATATATGAAAGTTTACAATATATATAATTTAATTGTGATTAAAAATAGAATGTTTTTATTATTATTCTTTAATATATTTTATATCTTTATAATATATTTTTAGGTTGATATTGTCACAGATGATGGACTCTTTAGAGCTGAGGTACCATCAGGTGCCTCTACTGGTATTCATGAAGCTCTAGAACTTAGAGATAATGATAAAACTAAATATCATGGAAAGTCTGTTTTTAAAGCTATAAATAATATTAATAATATTATTGGACCAGAGTTAATAAAGGTATTAAAAATTTAATATTTTTTTTAATTTGATAATTTAACAAAATTTATCAATTATTAAAATAATTTTTTATTTATTATTATTATTAAATGATAATATTTATACAATATATTAATTGAACAATGTTTAATATTTAGTCAAACTTGGATGTTACTTCACAAACTGATATTGATAACTTGCTTTTAAAACTTGATGGTACACCAAACAAATCAAATCTTGGTGCAAATGCAATTCTGGGTGTTTCCTTGGCAGTTTGTAAAGCAGGAGCAGCAAAAAAAAAATTGCCATTGTATAGGTAAGTTATTTTTTAAACTTATATTTGATATTATAATTTGTAATAATAAATTTTTAAAAAAGTTATATTAATATTTTATAATAAATTAATAATAGTATAATGTATTATTATATAATATATTAATTATATAAATTAATAAAATTAATATTATTATATTTCTGTATAAGTATTATATATGAATTGTAGATATATTATTAAATATAATAGTATAATATAATAATTTAGAATAACTAAAATTATTGAAATTATTTTTCTTATAAAATGAAACAGGAACAAAATTTTTTTTTATAAATATTATTTTTGATGTTTGAAAAAAGAAAAAAATATAATAAGTAATTTTATGAATTTTATCCTGTATTTACAGATTTATTTATTCTGTAATTACAGATATATTGCAGATTTGGCAGGAAATACCAATATTATTTTACCAGTTCCAGCTTTTAATGTTATCAATGGTGGTTCGCATGCTGGAAACAAATTAGCAATGCAAGAATTCATGATTCTACCTACAGGTGCTTCTAGTTTCTCAGAAGCTATGAAAATGGGTACTGAAATTTATCACCATTTGAAATCTGGTATTAAATCAAAGTTTGGTCTTGATGCTACTGCTGTTGGTGATGAAGGTGGTTTTGCTCCAAATATTTTGGATAACAGGGAAGCTTTAAATTTGATTATGGATTCTATCAAAGTAAATACTTTATTATTTAAATATATATATAATAATTTCAATAAATTTATTGTATTCTGTAAGTTATAAGTTGAAATTATTTTTGATTTGATATTTTTAATATTTGACATTAAATTTTTTATTAATTTTTAATTAATATTATTATGTAATATTATATATATATATAATTAATTATATACAATTTAGATTGCTGGATATGATGGAAAAGTCAAAATTGGTATGGATGTTGCTGCATCAGAATTTTACAAAGATGGAAAATATGATTTAGATTTTAAAAATGAAAAATCTGATCCAAGCACATATTTGGATTCAGAATCCTTAAAGAATTTATATCTACAATTTATTAAAGAATTTCCAGTTGTATCAATTGAAGATCCATTTGATCAAGATGATTGGAATTCATGGACAAAATTGACATCTTCTACTGATATTCAAATTGTGGGTGATGACCTTACTGTCACTAATCCTACTAGGTAAAATTAACATTTTTTATATAATTGAAATTAATAATAATAAAAAAATTATATAATCAATTATATTATTTAATTTATTTTTATATTTATAAATGATAATAAATATATAAATAATAAAAATAATATATATATATATATAATATATATATATATATATATATATATATAATAAATAAAATATATATATATATATTTAATATATATTATTATTAATATATATATATATATATTTATTTATGATGAAATATATATATATATTTCATCATAAATTTATTATACATTACAGGATTAAAATGGCTATTGAAAAAAAAGCTTGCAATTGTTTGTTATTGAAAGTTAATCAAATAGGTACTGTCACAGAATCAATCAGTGCTCATAAACTTGCTAAGAGTGCTGGATGGGGCACAATGGTTTCTCATCGTTCAGGAGAAACAGAAGATACGTTTATTGCTGATTTAGTTGTTGGTTTATCGACTGGCCAAATTAAAACGGGTGCGCCTTGCCGTTCAGAACGTTTGGCAAAGTACAATCAAATTCTTCGTATTGAAGAAGAATTAGGTCCATCTGCCAAATATGCAGGAATAAATTCCGTAATCCTCAGGCTTAAGATATATTATATCTTTTTATCAATGAAGTTTTAGTTGTTATATTTACTGCAAAATAAGTTGAATATACACTTTTATAATTATTAATATTGTATTGATAAAATTGAATTTTGAAAACTATTGTTGTTATTATATTTAAAAGAGAAAAAGTTTTTCAATTATAGACATAGAAAAATAAGGAAAGAGAATAGAATTTCTGTTAAAAGAAATATTGTGAAAAATAAAAATATACAGATATTTATTTTAACATACCATTTACTGGTTTATTATTAATTATTTTAATAATTACTTAAATTTAATACTAATTAAATGATATAATATCATCAATTTATTAAATTATTTAAAATTACTTGTTAAATAGTTTATTAAATCAGATTAAATAATATTAAAAGTTCAAAAAAATGAATCTTGACATATAACAATTTAGAAGCACAAATTATAAATTAATAACATTTATGATTATAAATATTATATATATGAATGCTATATAATGATAGTGATAAAATTTAATTTTAGTTTATCACTAATTATAACATTTATTTAAATAAAGTTATTAAAAATTATTGTAAACCTTATTATCAAAATGTCTAAGTAAATAAAATAAATAAATAAATGATAATAGAAAGAAAAAGTAGAACATATTAATAAAAACATTTAAGTGTTTTAATTCCTTATCATTTAATAAATTTATATATTTTTTTTTATTATAAATTTAGATTTTTTTTTGTTATACAAAAAAATTTATTAAACATTAAAATATTCTATTTTAAATCTTTGATCTATTATATATATTATTTTTGTTAATCTTTAATTTTTTTTAATTTATGGTTTTTACAAATTTGTTTTTACAAATCATATAAATATTATTTTTAATTAATTATATAATTTGATAATAAATTTCTACAAAATATTATAAATTAAAACATATAAAAAATAGAAATATTATATTAAATTATATTATAAATTAAAAAATATTATAAATTATATTAATTAGTAGTTTTAACCATATACTGTTTTATATGAATTATTTAGATTTTTATATATAATAAGATTCATTGATATGTTACAAATTATGATATGTATAGAATTATAATTTTATAAACTATATATATAAATTCAACAATTTTCAAATGACAAGTATATTTTAAAAAAAATAAATTATTATTATTATAATAGAAAAATTTTATTTAAATTTTTATTATAATATAAATAATTACAAACTAATATAAGAAATATAATATAAGAATATAAAAAAAATTTCACTTTCTATAATTTTATATTATTTTTGTAAATTTATTAATAGATTTTTGAAATTTTTTTGATTAAAATGAGTTTAAATACAATGTAAATGAGATAAATTTAACTAATAATTAATATTATTATGTTTATATTTATTTTAATTAAAAGAACCTCAATATTTGATATTATTTTCATAAAAACATAACAAGTATTGTTGAAAATTAAACAAGTATTATATAGTTATATTTTTCACTCACTATATTCTTTTAAAATATCAGAACTCGTTTTTTATTATTATATTTATTTTTCTTTTTTTATCTTTCAAGATTAGATATTTATATCAAGGTATTAAAATGTTTCTTTCTTTTGATTTCTACTGATTACTGAATATAATTTATTATATTTTTAAAAAAAATGTCTTTATGTATCTTTATGTACATTTAATAAATCATATAATTATCCAATTTATTATTATTCATATAACATATAATATGCTTTGTTGTGAATATACTTTTAGAAAATATATAAAATAAAATATATTACACAAGATATATAATATATTAAATATTCTTATTGATTTTTTATTCATAATAAATATAAATTTATAACATTTATTTAGAACAAAAATTTTACGAAGCAATCGTGATAACATGAATTTCATTTTTTCAATAACTTCAATTTTTCAATTTTTCAATAGTTTTTTAGTAATGGATATTGTTTCTCTATATTCTAAAAACATAATAGCAATGACCAATTTCATCACTTGCGTTAATTGCGATTAATCATTGGAAAAATGATCACAAATTGTAAATCTAATGTGATGCAATCTTGCAAAGGCTTATTTTTGGAAAGATGATCGACTATTGATGATTTTCTCTTATCCCTGTTTAATTATTTAATTAATTAATTATATTTTTCTCAGAATTAACTAATTAGAGGAAGAATCAGAATCTGCGAGAATTTTCAGAAAATTTTCAAAATTTAATCACATCTCAATTAGAAGCATATCTCAAGAATCCAATTTAGAATACAATTAATCGTCAATCAATCGTTACAAATCTCAATTAATCATTATAGAAATTAATTAACTATCATAGAAAATAATTAAATCAATCATCATTAAATTCATTGAATATTTACAATTATAGTTATATTTTTCCACACACCCACATTGAATAGATCCTTCGAGGAATAGCATTCAGTTCAAGTACCTTGTGAATTGCTTCAATAGTTTCAAGCAATAATTAAAGTTGGTTAAATTTTTATATAATAAAATTCAAATATATTATTTACATTATATGTACTTAAATTATACAATATAAATAAATATTATAAAATTATATTAATATTTTATCACAATTATATGTATATACGTATTTAAATATTTTAAAATATTAAGCTTTATTTACGATGTCATATTTTCTGTTTTTCCTTGAACGAGTGATCCAAAATAAGTTATCTTGCTGCAATCAGAAATAAATGTTAAATTAATCACACTGTAAAATATATGTTATAAAAACAAATATATATTATAAAATAAAAATGATTGCAAAATTTCTTTTTAATTATTATTTATAAAAAAGAAGGAAATTAATTTGTAAGTATAAAAAAAGTTAAAAAAAATTGTCAATTTTTAATTTTTGAATTATAATAATATTTGTATGTTATTATTGTATAATAATTATAATGTTGTTCGACTTATGATTTTAAATTATTTCTATTTGTTTTAAAATATTTTTTTTCTATATTTTTTCTATATTTTCTTATAAAATATAAATATATTCGTAGCATATTTTTGAAAGATCGATTCTAGAGATCAAAGTATATTTGTATATTGATATTCAAATATCGAAATGCGTCAATTATTCAGAAAAGTAAGCATTTTAAGGATTATTGGCAGCTTTCGTTTCATTAAGTCATGACAAAGTACAAAAATATTTCTTATGAATCAGATAGAAAAAGATACTTGTATTTTGTTTTCAATACGTATCTTAAATTACATTTTCGTTGCATTGACATTTATCAATCGGTAAAAACTTGCAATGTAAAACAAGTATTCTAGATTGTAATATTACCGATTGATGTCAATAAATATAAAAAAAAATCATATCAAAACCAGTACTGATAATGCATGATCGATAATAATCAAATTTAATTTTCCATTATAGTTGAATACAATTAATGTTGATATCAATGACGCAAAATATTAGCAAAATTGAGTTGTTCAACAGTACTTAATATTGATTGGCAAATATCAAAATTTTAAGTTTTTATATATGCTTCAAAAACCAGAGTTCTAATTCTAGAAATAACTTGGTGGAAATAACTCCATAATAATTAACTCACTTTTTTAATTTTATCTTATAATTAATATTTTATTTTAAATTAATAATATATAAATATACGATACATACTTGAAAATAATCTTCAATTTCTTGAAGTGTACGATTTTTTGTTTCTGGCAAAACAATATAAATAAATAATCCTTCCACAAGAGAAGAAATTCCAAAAATTATAAAAACTCCAATAACGCCCACTGCATTATTTATCTATTTTAACAATAAGAAAATTATATTAATAACATATTAATAACATAAATTAATAAAATAGTTAAATTTTATATAATTGCAAACATACCATGGGAAAAATTTTTGTTACAATAAAAATAAAAGAATTGACAACAAAGTAATTGAAACCACCGCCAATTCCTCGAGCTCTTTGCGGAAGCAATTCCGCAACCATTAATCCTGGAAGTGCCATCAATCCTACAGTATTAGTTGCCACATATAACAATAAAAGTATACCAACAATGTATATCTAAAACATACAAATAATGCAATAAATTAAAATGTGCTTAAAAATAAAAAAAAATTCGTATAATGAAGTTTATTATTATTACAATTTAAAAATAGATTAAACTTTAGATTTAAAACTATATTGAAAATTTTTAACATATATTACTTAAAATGAAAAAAATAGAATTACAATTTTTATAAAATAATAAATACCATAATCATTATTATTTAAGATTTTCAAATATGAGTCTAATAGAAATTTTATTCTAATATTTTTATTTTTCTAACATATTTTTAAAATTTTTAAAAAATAATAAATAATCATTAGAATTAAATCATATTCAATTTTATCCAAATATTTTATTAGTCTTACTTTCGGCGATAGATATTAGATATTAGATATTAAATAATATATGTAGATATTATAAGGTATATAAAGTATATATTGAGATAAAATTTCTATTGGACACATCCGAAAGTTCTAAATAATAATATACATTCGGACTGTGAAAATTGCATTAATATAATAATATAAACTCAATTTTTAATGAATGATAAATAAAAAAAAAGAATTTATCTCTATTTAAAAGGGATTTCTTTGATAAAACCACCATTTTATGCTTTTCATTTTATTAATAATTAGAATTACTGTTTTTTTTGAATACCATAGAAACAAAATGAGAATTATTGAAATAATGATTAAAATAATACTTTAATAAAGTTAATAAAACGAATACAATTTATCTATTGTTATATAAATATATAGATAGGTGTATAAGATGTTAAAATATTCTTGAAAGGTTCATAAAACAAACATAAAATTTCGATTCAATTAAAACTTATTTATTAAGTTATAAAATTTAACTTAAACTTGTATTAGATAGAGCAAGATATAAAAAGACAAAATGAGACGGCTTATTCCTTCTTTTTATCTCATTTTGTCTAATACAAACTAATTATAATATATTTAATTTTTAATTTAGTAAATAAATCTTAATCAAAATTTTTCTATATTAATTGTTATGCTTTTTTTTAAAATTAGAATTAACTCTA